TTTTTTACCGCATACTCTTTCAAGGCTGATGTAACAGTGATGTGAACCTAATTAGATCCACTTAAAATAACCCTATATGGACTCCTGACTGGGTCCAAATGTTCTATGGCGTTATATCTCTGATCCGAACCCAAACAAAATTATTTTATCCGAGCTCTTTTGGAAGTCAGGTGTAGGTACCTGATAGATAGGACTCTTACCGCAGCTCACAACTATTAAAAGTGATTTATTTGAAATAAGTACTTTTAATAAATGTACAAATACAAAATGCCTCATATTTTTGTATTTATTTTAAATGCCTTTTTCTGAACATTATCAAATTCTATTTAAAAATGCATCGATTTTTAAACGTTCTTTCTGTCTTTAAAAGACTAAATCCACTGCAACGTTCAGTTATCGCCGTAGTCAAATATAGTTATAATATCATTGTCTTCCTTGTGTTTGGCTTGACAAAATCTTAATGAAGGTGTCCTACTAACCTATATCTCCTATTTTTATTGACTTCCATAGAGTCCTCTATTCTCCTATTGTTTCTAACACCTCTTCATATCTAACCTTCTTTATCGACGGTATCTTCATCATTCGCCTGTAACACCACATTTCGAACGCTTCTTACCGCCGCGCCCACTGTCCATGTTTCGCACCCATACAGCGCCGCGCTCCAAACATGCTCCGATTCGTGAAATATTGCACCTATCCCTGTTACACTTGTTAATGACATTCTCCGCCCGGACATCCGAATGGGAGACTAGTTTACATCCGGAATGCTTTACCCCTGAGGACGCCATTATTTGAGTTCGGTTTGTTTTTCTTGGGATATCATAATGTGGTGGTTTCCCGTTGCCTTCGACATCGCAGTATTGTGCATCTTTGCCACCCTGAGTACTGAAAGAGCTGACTCAGTTACTTACATATTATTATAATTGTATTGAATTGATTATATTTATATATATAAACCATATCACAATTTTATTGGGTAAAAACAACAAAAAAGCGTCATGTTTAACAAAACTGTTTAAAAAGTAGTAATTTTGTATTTTCCATATTTTGTATTTCAACTAGAAAATCGTTACCGAATGAAAACAGCTATTATTTTTCACATCTTTTTACAGTTATCATTGATTATACGCTATTGCATGGACGATACATACGACACAATTCCCATCAGTTGAACATTTTCCTTTGGTTAAAATTTATTTTATGTACTGCATATTAGCTGCAATTACCTTTGATTGATCGTATTATTAATTACTTATCGTATCATTAGTGACTGAATGGCTCGGTTTTTTCAATACCTGCACAATATTTTTTGACGGAACAGTATCAATCTTTTTGCCTATTTCATACTTGAATAATTTTATTGCATTCTTGAACATTAAAATTAACTGCATACTTTTTGTAAAACGGTTTCGCTGCGCAACTCATAAATCATAACGTTATTACTGTTAGTGGATCATTTAATTAGTCGTAGAAGATTGATCTGCAAACTACTTTTTATAATAAATAGGAACGTTAGCAATATTTATGTTTGTTTTCTGCATGTAGTTCTCCAGCGTAGAGTAACAGGTGGTCAAAGAGAAAAACTTACTTATAAAATTAATAAAATGAAGGTAATTACTATGGTGGACTGTGTGGAGTTATCATCGGATAAAATATTACTATTCACCACTAATTATTAATATACGGTCGATTGACTGTTTTGAAAGTATAAAAATGTTTCAAAACTAAAATTTCAATCTCAAGAAAGTCCTGCAACAAAAAAATGTTTGCAGGGGTAGCAAAATACTGCTTTTATAGATATATCGTAATGGTATATTTTGTATTGTAAATATACTTTCTGGTGTTGGGCGTTGTTAGTGGTGTCTAACAGTAAGGATGATGAAGAGGATTCTTTCGTATTTTTTAACCTCCGAGGATCGAGAAAAATAAATAGCACACACTGAATTAGAGCTTATAAAATTTTAACGACAGATTTATGTCAATAGGTTCTTTTAAACAATTTTGCGCCAATATTCATTCAATTCAATAGTGGTTTGTATTCTTCAGCCCATTAAGAAATTGTTTTCCTTCTACGTAATATATACAGTGTTTTTATTACATTATCATTATACCTCTGCACCCTTTCAGTTAAAAAAAGAAATACATAAATTCAAGTAAAAAATTAATAAAATTTATACTTTACGAAGAATTTTAAATACATAAGATGTTGTATTTTGTGCACTCCTATATGTATACTGATCTTGATTGTGGCCACTTTTAATCCAATTCCTCTGTATAGGAATTCCTGATAAATCGCATCGATTATAATGATCAGGACAAAATTGTATTTAAAATATTCATATTGTGAACTGCACGTTTTCTATTAATGTTCTTAAATGGGAGGTTTCTTTTAAGACATGAACTAGTAGAGGTATACCTTTAAAGTTATCTTTATTGGAGTTACTCAAAAACCAAAATATTCTCATGCTTCGAAAAAGGGCAGCGCTGATCTATTAAGATTGACGTCCAAGCAACGAGCTATAAGTTCTTCCCCCTTAAATAGTCGATATGTTCTGCAATCCTCTCGTATTCTACGTTATACTTGGCTGGATTGGCTTGTAAAGTTCTTTTGCAAGAAACGATAAAATCAAGCAGTTGAAATTTTCTTTCTTCTTCTGCTTATAAAGATTATCTTGATCTAACGCCTATGAGAAATGAGACGGTCGGATGCAACACGTTCCGCATCTTAATAACGTATAAAAAGACTACCAAAAAGGTAAAGACTTGTGGCTGAGATTTGCCGCAAAATCAACGGCTCTTCGAAAAGAACCGGGCGTTTAGATTGCTATTATTTTCTACCTGTTGTGGTTTATTTTAATATAACGCGGTCGTTTAAAGTTGTGGTGTATTCTGCGTTCTATTCGGACTCGCACACCCCGAGGGTTCCTTACAAACATGTAGACATATAATAGTTCATCCATCCAATCTCGAAGAAATACTTTGTCACATCGGTCGACAGTACCGGAGTCGCAGTAAGACATTTATTTTTGTCATTTATTTTATCAATGCATTATAATACAAAACAAAAAATCTTGACCATTGATCTATCGAACCTGTCAGATGTGAATTGCGATTTTGATCCCATTGGATCTAATCAGCACGCCGAGGTCACTTCCGACAGAACACCACCAATTTACTTGCTATATCTACAAATAATTTTTGCAACAGACCTCTGCTTCCGCTTCCGCGATTACGGAAGTTCCGTATGCATTTCTACTTCCGCTTCTGTATCTGGTTCCCCATTTTTATAACGGAAGCTTATCGGAACTTATTTCTCGTATCGCATATCGCAACAATAAAACAAGTCGTAAAAATTTATCACTTTTATCTGTTGACTGAACTAGGCCGTTTTCAGGACACAATTAAAAAAAAATTGCTCTTTGCAAATTTGCATGTAGGATAAGTCCAAAATACTAGTACAGTTATAGCGTTTATTTGTTTTGTATATTTTAAAAACGAAAGAAATCTTATTTGGCATTATTTTGTTGATGTTAACTATGTAAGTGCTAATTGCGTAGTCTGTAACAAAATATTTGCGAAAAGGGCCCACGACCACCGCATTAATGAATCACCTAAAATTATTACACTTCCGCTTCCGAAAAAATTTCTGTTTCCGCTGTGACACTTCCGTTATATCACTACTAGAAATAGCGTTCGATGTATGTATTGTGGTATTGAGAGCGTGTAGAATTAATAAAGTTAAGTTAGGTAGGTTAATAGAAAATAAGATATTATTTTAACTGTTATGAATAAAGACAGCGAATGCTCGAACAACGATTTATATTTTTATGGTACTCTACCCATGGGGGTAGCAGGTAGCGCGTTTGTAAGTTGGTGATTGAAATTAAGGGTAGTCGTTGTTCAGATTTAAAAGAAGAAAGTTGTTCGAGGATCGCGTTTGTTTTCTTGTAAATATCAGCTCTGTATATACTTGTAAATAAATAAGAAAAAAGGACACTACGATTTTCAGTAACGTTTATGCTATCAAATTAGATCCCTACATATTTTGTGTATTATTGCAAATTCTTTAGAAATCTTTTAGATAGTATAATATTGAATTGTATTTTAGTAATAGTCACACTCATTTTCTAATGTTTACGTTTCGTCCAATTTTTTATCTTATTATCTTCTCCTTATACCATTTAGTCCATATTTTTTATTTGTATTTCTGTTTCAAATTCGTCATTATTCAGGGATAAAAACCCGTCACCGAAGCAGGAACAATAACAAACCAGTTTTATAAATAAAGCGCTTTTACAGAAATTATCTGTCGCCTTTCGTTATCTTTGAGTATGATTAGTCGTTGTCTACGCGGTTGACACGTTAACGAAGATGGGATGCTTGATGCTTTTTCTTTATCATTTACCAGAAAGGATTGACAGATAATACGAATTCCTACCTATGTATGCAGGTGTATATATATATGTTGATGTGCATGCATGTTGTAAGTTCTGTTACTTCCCTGAACGCCTGGCTAGTTACGTAAGAACACCAGCAGGTAGAAATGTAATCAATTAATTAATAAGACCATCTACTGAATAAAACAACTACATATTCCGAGAACTTGGCGAATAAGAAACGACCACGTAAAGTGATATGAGGAAAAATAAAATGTGGTCAATTCTGCCTTTATTACGAATCGAAATAACTTCCTTATCCCACTTACAGGGTGATTAGGATTCCGTTGCACATTTTTATGACAGAATTGGCTTTCAGTCGCCACTGAAAAAAGAAGTACTACCGAAATCGGTTCAGCCATTTCGAAGATTAATTACCCTTGCGCTTGATAGCATACGTACAATCATTTAAACTTAGACAAAAACCGGCCAACCTTTCGCATATTTTTAAACCCAATACATGTTTAGTATTTGCAGTTTTTATTTTGCCATCTTTTCAGCGGGTATATTCATAACTTTATCCATATTTCGCTGCTCAACTAAAATGTTTTCTTTTCTTTCCAGCTATGTGGGGTTACCATCGGCAGGGTTCGTGTCAAGCTGGTTTTAGTGCAGCAATAGCACCAGTAAGTATTTTATTTAATTGTAAATTACCGGAAAATTGTGAAGGTCTCTTTAGGCTAGGCGATCGAATCGAGGAAAATGATAACTTTATAATGACAATTCAGTTACTGTAAGAACCCTAGAACAAAATGAGTAGGGCTGGGATCTAACTGGAATCGGATCGGGTATTCGGGCATCCCAGTTACCCTATTAAAGCTCAAAAAGTGAAATTTGATGGGGGACGAATCAAGAATGTAACGCCTTAAATACTCCAATTCGAATTGGGTCATCTTACAGGGCCCTAGTAAGGTGGCCTTGTGTGGTCCTGAACAAGTTGACATATAAGGTGCACATTGGGGTGCTTTGTAGGATTCTGATTGGAGAAGCCTATAAAAGGCAGGTCGGGGTGCCTTATATAATACTGATTACAATAGTAACCTCTGTATGCAGAGAGAATTATGGAGTCTCGACCTATATTGTTCAGGTTACCTCACAGCATTCATAATAGGATTTTGAATTGCGATTTATAATTTGACTTAAACTTTACCGTTCGAAGACAAGTTAGTGATAGTTAAAAATCAACTAGTTTTTCTTCGGTATTATACTTGAAACGTTTTTAATAACTAAAACATTATCACAATAAGAATAATGTGATACCTACATGTAATATTATTATTACATTTTGGAGTTAATTATTAAAAGCTTATAATATAATGTCGAAAGATTTTACAATTTTTCTATTTTTGGTCATTTGGTCAAGTCCTCGACGGTAAAGTAAAACAAGTAGGAAAATCGATTCACCCTGGTGCCAGAGCAACCAAGTTAGGGATGCAAGGATTTTCGTAACAGGTAACCCCTCTCACTACCTTACAGGGGTAAAGTATGGATATCGTAATACGGCTTCCGCACTACAGTTTGATCCGCTCTAGCTCTAGATTTCTGTTAGAGTTGCCCCTACCTACTCCATTTATACTCTGGTTGAAAATCACAACAACTTCTAACAGTAACGTTTTGAAAGAAGAAAAATCAAATTAATCTTTCGATATGGACCTTCTAAGATTATAGCAGAAATGAATAGAATAAACATTTTTCAATTCCATGGGTATTTTTTCCGTGAGGTAGTGTCAAAGTTGACGGAAGTTCTAACATTTTGACTACATTGAACATGTCGAATTAGAATATCACTTTCATTTTGGTATAATTCCAATATTTCTCACTAAAAAATATGAATGTTTTCGACTTTTAATGGGACAATTCTTTCAATCTATAAAAATCGACATCTCAATTTTCAAAATCTGTCAAAAATTGCTCAACTAACCTTTTCAATATTGACCAACTTTTAAGCCCCTAACTGAAAAACTAGTCATGGAATCGAACAACGTCCTATAAAACACTAATCAGGGAGGGGGTGTCGCTATTAGTGTTTCCTGTAATAATCTCAGACGGCTCGTCTCGTAGGGTAATAGATTAATTTCGAAACTACCAAAAATGTAGAAAAATATTGACAAATTGTCTTGATGCAAAATTTAGCGCAAACTAATTTACGCAGTTAGGGCGTTTTGTAGACTTCTTTCTATTTTAATTTTTTGGTTCTTTTGTAAATATTGAACTTGTAACCGTATGATATGGTTTCCATTTAATTCAAAGAACATCGTGCAAACGTGGGAATGTTTTTTCTTGTGCCTACAAAGTCGGTAACATTTTTCTGTCCGATTGTTCTTTTCTTTGTTTCATCGTATGAAAAAGGAAACGTACAAAACCGACCCATATCTACAGTGCCAGTGGTTTGAACTTTGTCAATACACAGTAGTAGGTACTCCATCCATATGCATAGGTGGTTGTCCTTAATATTGTTTGCTTCCTTTGTATGCATGTGTTGCGAAAACATGATAAATGTTCGTAAACGGAGATGTATATGTACCGTATGTGGTAGCATACATATGGAAGTGGCGCCTCACGGCTCGCCATGACCATTGTATTTCTTACGTCTTCGATTTTTCTTTCTTCTTGGGCTGCTGCCTTGGATATGGCATAGTTTATGTCGGTACAGATTCATTTATTCAAAGAATCGATTATTGTTATATCCACCGATCATGCTTGTTCTTCTCCTTGCGGATCACAGGAACAAAATAAGAATCGAGAAACGAAAACACAAAGCTATTTAGTTAAAGGGGTCGAGAAAACATGGCAGGCAACGCTACCGTTCCAATGGTACCGTATTCTGATCATGTATATGCGTCGGCGATTTTGCCGCCCAGGCTGACATTTAAAATTTCGACACGTTACTGATACCTACGTGTGTGTTTTACGTATGTAAACTTCACTGTGACATTGGTCGTAATAATTGTTATTATTGTTAGAGGGCTATAAATTTGTTATTGCTTGTTATAAATAGATTCTCAAATATCAAAGTAGGAATCAGTTTCCGCTATTAAATGGCATCTAGGAAAAGGTAACAGTCCTATAAAGTAGGTCCACTGGAATTCATGGGAGACATGCATCCATGTAGCATATGGGCCTTATGTGGCAAATGAAGAGCATGCCGATATAGTAGAGAGATTTCTCCATAGATTTTTCATGGGGGCCTCAAAGGAAAACCCAGGCCTGCCGTACGTATGAGTTTTTCAGCTTTTCAATTGGGCACAACAATTGTTTTCCTCATGAGGGTCACTTATGACATCCATAATGATGGGCTGGTGCTGTACGGAGTTATTGTGTGCCTTACATGTATCGAGCAGCCTCATGGAAACTGCGTGAATGTCATTTCTAGCCGCGAGTAATGTTTCCATTCTTTTGAAGAATTTGAGTTCCTATGCGTTTGTTGTTGAAATAATTAGGAATTGAAGGATTTTTTTCATAAGAATGTTGTCCATGAGTCCATGAGTGTTCGTCAAGTGATTGTTAAATTGAGCCCATTCTGGTTCATTATTTGGGTTCGATTTTCTGGTCTATTTTTCTCGTTTATGTGTTTCTGTTAATTTTTAAACGACATTCAAAAGTGGACCTATAATTTACCAATGAAACTGTTGAAGATTTTAATCGTGCACGTTAGAGAATCATCAACAAACCATAATCTTTCTAGAACAAACAGAAAAGCTCAAAACCCCAACGCCAAAACACGACACTGTAGTTGTCCGAAGCACAGTGTGGTAACAAGGTTACCTTCTTCAGGGACTTCAGTCTTCGGACAACTACAGCGTCGTGTTTTGGCGTTGGAGTTTTGAGCTATTTTTTTTGTTCTAAAATGATTAATGCTTGGGTAATAGGTACTACTGGTAGTGACTGATATTTTTTAAATAACGTATGAACTTGTATGTCACTTTTTTCCGGATGTTTTCCTCCAGAATGTGCGTCACGACTTGTGAGCAACCGACATCAATTTCGAGACGGTTGCAATTTGAACTTTCATCCCTTTTGGCAATTAATTTTGTTTTCCCGTCTAATTATGAAGATACCCGAGAACGTGACCGGGAGATCAAACAGTAGCTTATCCCCGTTGCCAAAGTTGTTATCATCTTACTTTCTCGGGATAGGAGATGCTACGTGACACCACGATTCATAAGCCGGCGGGGGTCCC